TAGAGCTCCGATCTAACTTTCCAACGAGATATAATACGCCCCAAACGGATAAACACACAGTAGGATATGAGTGTCACAAATACTTAGCCTTATCTCTATGATTTAGCGTTTTCAGCTAAAATAGAGCACTTTTAGCGTAAATACAGTGTATTTTAGTAATTAGGCAATAATCCCTTGATTTTTTGAAACCAGCGCCTGAAGACAAGTTTTAGAACTCGGTATGATCTTTCAAACGAGATATTAAACGCTTCCAATGGCACAACAAAGAGCAAGATGTGATCGCATCAAATTCTACACGAGTTCAGAGTGAAATCAGAAACATTTGTGAATATATGGTTAATCTGTAACTTTTAATTAATGCATTGTAAATGAAGTTGGAACAATAGCTTTAGAGCTCCGATCTATCTTTCCAACGAGATATAATACGCTCCAAACGGATAAACACACAGCAATCTCTATGATTTAGCGTTTTCAGCGAAAATAGAGCACTTTTAGCGTAAATACAGTGTATTACTATTTTTGATACTATTATTATTACTATTATTATTATTATTATTCTTATTCTTATTATTATTATTATTATTATTATGATTATTATTATTATTATTATTATTATTATTATTACTATTATTATTATTATTATTATCATTATTATTATTATTATTATTATTTTTTTTTTATTATTATTATTATTATTATAATTATTATTATTATTATTATTATTAGCTCCGATCTATCTTTCCAACGAGATATAATACGCTCCAAACGGTTAAACACACAGCAAGATATGAGTGTCACAAATACTTAGCCTTATCTCTATGATTTAGCGTTTTCAGCGAAAATAGAGCACTGTTAGCGTAAATAAAAATTATTTTAGTAATTAGGCAATCATCCCTTGATATTTTGAAACCAGCGCCCAAACACATGTTTTAGAACTCGGTAAGATCTTTCCAATGAGATATTAAATGCTTTCAATGGCACAAAATAGAGCAAGATATGATCGCATCAAATTCTACACGAGTTCGGAGTGAAATCAGAAACATTTGTGAATATCTGGTCAATCTGTAACTTTTAATTAATTCATTGTAAATGAAGTTAGAACAATAGCTTTAGAACTCCGATCTATCTTTCCAACGAGATATAATACGCTCCAAACGGATAAACACACAGAAAGATATGAGTGTCACAAATACTTAGCATTATCTCTATGATTTAGCGTTTTCAGGGAAAATAGAGCACTTTTAGCGTAAATACAGTTTATTTTAGTAATTAGGCAATAATCACTTGATTTCTTGAAACCAGCGCCTAAAGACAAGTTTTAGAACTAGGTAAGATCTTTCAAACGAGATATTAAACGCTTTAAACGGCACAACAAAGAGCAAGATATGATCGCATCAAATTCTACACGAGTTTGGAGTGAAATCAGAAACATTTGTGAATATATGGTTAATCTGTAACTTTTAATAAATGCATTGTAAATGAAGTTGGAACAATAGCTTTAGAGATCCGATCTATCTTTCCAACGAGATATAATATGCTCCAAACTGATAAACACTCAGCAAGATATGAGTGTTACAAATACTTAGCCTTATCTCTATGATTTAGCGTTTTCAGCGAAAATAGAGCACTTTTAGCGTAAGTACAGTGTATTTTAGTAATTATGCAATGCTCCCTTGATATTTTGAAACCAGATCCTGAAGACAAGTTTTAGAACTCGGTAAGAGCTTTCCAACGAGATATTAAACGCTTTCAACGGCACAAAATAGAGAAAGATATGATCGCATCAAATTCTACACGAGTTCGGAGTGAAATCAGAAACATTTGTGAATATATGGTTAATATGTAACTTTTAATTAATTCATTGTAAATGAAGTTGGAACAATAGCTTTAGAGCTCCGATTTATCTTTCCAACGAGATATAATACGCTCCAAACGGATAAACACACAGCAAGATATGAGTGTCACAAATACTTAGCCTTATCTCTATGATTTAGCGTTTTCAGCGAAAATAGATCACTTTTAGCGTAAATACAGTGTAGTTTAGTAATTAGGCAATCATCCCTTGATATTTTAAAACCAGCGCCTGAAGACAAGTTTTAGAACTAGGTAAGATCTTTCGAACGAAATATTAGACGTTTTCAACGGCACAAAATAGAGCAAGATATGATCCCATCAAATTCTACACGAGCTCGGAGTGAAATCAGAACAATTGTGAATATATGGTTAATCTGTAACTTTTAATTAATGCATTGTAAATGAAGTTTGAACAATAGCTTTAGAGCTCATATCTATCTTTCCAACGAGATATAATACGCTCCAAACGGATAAACACACAGCAAGATATGAGTATCACAAATACTTAGCCTTATCTCTATGATTTAGCGTTTTCAGAGAAAATAGAGCACTTTTAGCGTAAATACAGTGTATTTTAGTAATTGGGCAATCATCCCTTGATATTTTGAAACCAGCGCCTAAAGACAAGTTTTATAAAATGGTAAGA